ACAATCCTGGCATAATTCCAGTCAAATTAGGGAACGCGAAAATCAAAGATTACACCTACACCCTGATACATTATTATGACTTGAACCCAATAATACGTGAAATAAATAAGCTTCACGTAAAAATCTAATAATATTACAAACATTCTTAATGGACATCAAGACTATTCTGAAGACATTAGCAATTACATAAATTTGTTGAAAATAACACAGAATAGAATTGATACAAATATATCAGAGATTATTCCTCAGCCACAAAGAATTAAAAGAGGACTAATTAATAGCTTAGGATCAATATTCAAATCTGTAACTGGAAACCTAGACGCATCTGACGGAGAACGTTACGAGCATATCATTAGGGAATTACAAAACAATCAAAATAGTTTACAAGAAAGTGTTCTGAAAGAAAACTCGCTTTCTCTAACAGTAATCGAAAAATTTAACCAAACCATTAAACAAATAAATCACAACGAAAAACTTCTAGAATCAAAAATTAACCAAATTGCATACATGGTACAGAAGGCAGCATATAGAGAAAATTCCCTCTATATCAAAGACATAATAAATCAAATAGTCAATATCTATGAGATAATTGACTCTATTTTACAAGATATAGAAAATTCCTTAACTTTTTCAAAATTGAAAATTATGCATCCAAGCATAATAAAAACTGAAGACCTTTATCATGAATTAAACAAACTTCAACAGCGTTTAAGTTCTGAACAAATGCCCCTAGCGGTTACTTTGGAAAATACTTCACTTTTTGAAAAAATAATTGAACTGGAATCTTTTGTCATTAATAATAGAATAACATACCTAATACATATACCAATAATGTATTCAGAAATTTTTGATTACTTTCATTTATACTCGGTTCCAGTACTTTCTCAGAGTCAGTTTAAGGTTGTCTTACCGCGAAATAAATTCTTGCTGAAAAATAAATTGCACTACACATACTATGGCCAAGAATGTCAAGAAGTCACTCCGAAGTCCCATATTTGTGGAAAAGAAGACATTCACAAAATTCAAGAAGACAGCCCATGCGAAATTAAACTACTCCACTCTGACAAAAATACCTCCACCTGCGAACAAACCAAAGTTGAAGTCCCACAAATTATCATCAATCGATTGGACGATTCCAACCAATGGATATTGGTTGTTCCTGTCAAAGAAGCCATCCAACTCAAGTGCTTTCAACAAAAAGAAGTACAAAACATCATTGGAACATTTATGCTCCAAATACCGATTGGTTGCCAAGTGGCCACCGCTTCCAAAATAGTCATCAATGAAAATAGGACAATCAAGACCGATACTCAACCGATACTGTTTCCTGACATACCAAATACACTCGCCATGATGCCGACCCTCAATCTAAGTCGACATCTAAATTATTTGAAGTTAGACGACCTTCACCAATTGAGCAAAGAAGTATTGGACATACGCCCACAACTGAGCTTCACCGAAATCAATAGATTGCCCAGCCTTGGGACAATCCTTATATATGTCCTCATCGTTATTGCCTGTATCTTCTTGGTTTACATGAAATATGTAAAAGCTGCCATGAAGAAGAAGAGGTCCACCCCCGTTCCAGAAGAAGACCGGAGTATTCAACTCCCCCGCTAGCGTGAAAGTTGAAGCTAAGAAGGGAGGAGTTATATCACGTCTATTTGCTGAGTCCTCATTTAAAATGCTTATTCTGCTTTTCAGCTTATTATAAATATATGTATTTTCTTAGGATAGTTAGTCAGTTGAAATTTATTATACTTATAACTTTTATTGTAACGTGCTTTCGCTAGTAATAATTTCGAATTGTTAATAAAGTCATTTTTTTAAAAACCAACCCTCGGTTGCTGACTTGTTAACTAGTGTAAAAAACTCATTTGAACTATCTCGACCGTGCGTAAAAAGTCGTCTTCAAAATTTGTTGTTCAAATAACTAAACTATTATTGTTATATGTTTGCACCTACCTATCATAACAGAGTAAACAAGTTTCTATATGTATATGTAGTATGTAGGTGGAATACACATTGGTAATATTCACTGGCGTAACTAGCCATCTGACCTGGGGGGGGCCTAGGGTGGGCCTGTTTTTTGAAAGTCCTCATAGGTGCAGGATAATATTTTTATAAATTTGTTTATAGGGGGAGGGGGAAGCTCACCGTAGACGCCGGCGGAGGCGAAATTTTTTTTCCGGATGCCACGCCAAAAAACGTCTATTTTATAGTGTATATATTTTTTTATTTTTTTTTCTACGAGGGTGTGAAAAGTAATTTTTCTGCACGCATTTTAGGCCATGAAAATATCACATCATTATCAAAATAATTATGCCTGGTACTTTTATGTCCTAAAATGCCTTATGTCCCGATTATTATCAAAGCATAGAGATGGAGAATAAGCAACATTAACAATATAAAGTAATAGAGCATAGAATTGACCACAAATAACGAAAAGACAGAATACTAATACCTCCCTAATCTAAGACTAATACGACTTGTATAATTCTTATACAAAGTTGTGTAAATTTAATTTACATACATGATACTGATACTACCACACAAAACGGAATGACCATTAAATACGTTTGTATTTTCGCATTTTCTACGAAAGCTCCGAGCACCCATGAGAGGTTGCTCATGGGAGCATCTGCCCCAATGCCCCCTTGTAGTTAGGGCCAGTGGCATTAGCTGACTAAACCGGGCTTAAATCACTTACCTAGCTAACCCAGCTTATCAGCCACTGTAAAGTATTTATCAGCAACACCGATTCACGGATTCACAGGAAAAATATTTTGTCAAACTCCCAAACTAATCTGTTATATTGCTAATGCTAATTTAATGGCTTTGATATACTATATCACTTCTGCACATTGCAATTTGCACTGACCTTTTGCTTTGCACAATTGCACACGGCTCGTTCGTTAGTGGATCGAAGGATCGGATAGGGACGATCGGGATCGCCGCGCATTACAGTTGAAATTTAGTAGGTAATAACATAAAATTATAATAGGTAACGTAGCTTTCATAAAATACCAAATTATTAAAGTTTTTTTCTGGGGGGGCCTAGCGACGTCTGGGAGCCCGGCCCCCCTGTAGTTACGCCACTGGTATTATTATGTTTCGTTGATCGAATTTGTTGTACAAAACAATCAAATTTTCATAAAAGTGTAACGGAGGAACTATTCTAAAGCATTTCAAATGGATTTATATCATATTTCCTACAAAACGCAGCAACATTCAAGTTATATTAGCTTACATGTGGAAAGCGTTATTTCGGCGGTAATTCTTTGGCTCCTATCTCAGTAAGGGTAGTACCCAGGAAGTTCACAAATAACTATTTTTAAAGGTTTTGTTGTGCTCTCCAATTTATTCCTTTTCATATTTTCTCGAAAAATGAATGGTTTTCAAGTAAAACGTAAATTAAGCAAAAAATGTGAAAAATCCAAGATGTTGACGCCATTTTGACAATGTTTTCCCAGGGGGAGGTCTGGGGACTTTTAGTATGTTCATCATGACCATAAATCCTATCGATTTAGACTAGTCGCAGCTTTATGTTATTTTGTGCCCAATAAAATTATAACTGTCTTGGGGTATAAGATGTGCATTGAATAATAATAGTATTATCGAATGTAATACCACAAGAGGTTTCAGGATTACCGGATAATACCTGTCACGAAACGCGTTACGCAGCAACACCACGACTCCGAAGTAAGAGTGGTGTTGCTGGTAACGCGCTGAGTGTCAGGTAAAAGTATTAGGTAATCCTGAAACATCGAGTGGTATTCAAAATGTTATACAACGAACTAAACTTCAATACCTACTTTATTAATTTTTATTGGCAAATGATCAATATTGCCATCAAGTGCGATAATCCCAAAAGGCTTATCAGTTATTAAGCCTCTCGTGTCATATGGGAATAATGTACAGTGAGTTGTATAACCCTAGAAATGGTATCATGATTTCTCTTCTACGGAGGGACGTACTACTTATGGGCCACTCTGTATTAATTATGTACCCTCTGTACACTTGGCGTGACAAGACTGAAACTGGCTTTGAGACAGGTCCAAAAGGGCGTTTCCCATTAAAGGTAGTTTGCACTGAAAGGAGACTTAGCTATAGAGGAGCTTTTCCCATTAGAAGTAGTTCGCACTAGCTTTAGTCTGCCGGTAATGGATTTCGGCGCTGTATTTATACCAAATAAATGCTGACTTGTTGACACACTTTAGTAAAATTGATGTATAGAGTGATATTTACTTAAGTAGTTGACAATATTACAAGTCTGTGATGTCCTTAAATGTTCTGGGCACGCTACACAGAAAGAATCAGCATGGCCGAATAACCCATTCTGGTGCAATATTTTTTTAAATTTTGGTACAAAAAATGTTTGCTTTCTGACAAGACTGGCTACATCTGCGCCATCTTCTATCACCTACCATTCAATTTTGAATGCAGTTATGTATCACATTACTGTCAAAAATGCGATAAAAATGCTTAGGTATAAATGGAAATTTTCGCGATAACTCCAAACAGTATGTAGCTTTTAATTTCCTCTCAATTCTACTCAATTTCAATAGGACAAGGCACATTCATTGAAAATCGAACCCTATTTATCTTTGTTTAGACTTTGAAACAAAAATTCTGTTACTTACCTATATGAAATGTTTATCATTTTACTATAATAATATTTCATAAATAAATTTCTGAAAATTGAAAATCTCGATTTCCTTTTTGAGATCATCTTATGAAAAAATAATATTTCAGTTTCATTTTTTTTTTCAAACATTACAAGGCAGTAAATATTAACATTGTGTTATAATATTTTATTTGAAAATTAATACCTATGTATTTGCAGATTTGCAATAATTATTTTCATATCTCGACGTTTGTGTGTATATTTTCAAGATTACATTGGAATGATTTACTAGCATATTATGGTAAAGCAAATATTCACTTTTAAATTTGATAGAGAAAAATTAAATTTAATTTAAATGATTTTGATTACTTACTTTCAATTTATGAACTTCCCGGTGCAATTTCAAAACTTCATTCTCCTTAGAGCTCAACAGATTCTTGGTTTCGTGCAGCTCAACCTGAGAGGCGTTGTATTTCATCTCTAGTTCTGTAATGTCTTTTTTTAAACGACTCAAAATAATCTAGAAAATTAATAATTATAGAACTACTAGCAATTATAGGCCTGTTTTCACAGAAATCATAAACCAATTTCCTGACTATTTTCTACTAATGAAATTCGGTTTGTGATTTTTGTGACCTTACAAAAATAAACTTTACCTTTAAATGTTCAAAATCCTCCAAATTAACTCTATCAGAAATCTTCTTTTTTGGTTTAAAATCGATTGTTTTTGAGTTTCTTCTTGTTGCATTGTCCTCAATTGAGGTCCTCCTCAAAGCAGCCCCAATTGCACTATTCCCCATTGGACCAAACAAGCCAAACTCCTTAAAAAACTTCTCGGCCTCTTCCTCACTAAATCTTGTATCTTTTTTGGTATCTTTTTCATAAGCCAACGCTGTTGCTTTGTGGTAATCGAGTTTATTTTTGATTTCCGGATACAAGTGATGGGGAAAGGAGTTGTTTTGGTAGTCTTCTCTGGATACTTCGACTGGAATTGGAAAGGTAATTTCTGGATGGTTTAAGAAGACGTTGGCTTTGATTGTGGTGCTTGGAGATGAGCGTTTGCTTTTCAGGCATACGTGTGGATGTTTTGTGCTGAATTCCTGCAGATCTGGAAAAAAAAAAAAATGTTCGTGTTTTTAATGTTGATTTTTTAAGATCCAAATTCCAGAATTTTGTAGAATAGGTATTGGATAAAGATGCATTCTTTGTAACCTATAAGGCAGGGGCTACGAGTCGTGAGGGGGGATAATGGGGGTAATTACCCCCCCCCCCCCCCCCCCAGGATCCAATAATCAAGAAAAAAATCACGATGCCCAAAAGAAAATACATAATAATATGTTGAATAAAATATATTTTTTTCTTCTCAAAGCAAATAATTGTTCTGGAAAAGTGAATGACGTTGAAATTTTTAAAAAATTTCTCCTGCAGCGCACCAGGCTGCTTATTACGCGTCGCCACTGCTATTAAGTAGGCCTTGTAATGTAATATTCATTTTTTAATGCATTATTTTTATTAATTTATTGTTTCATAGACATTAAATTGATTAATTATTTAACTAAATTTAAAACAAAAACTCATTTTCCTATTTGAGACGTGACAACGTCGCTTTTGATCAAGTAGATCTTGTAATGCAATGTCATTTGCACTTTTTGTCAGTTAGCCATTTTGAGTGTTTTTAAGAAGTTTTTCTTCAAATTTTTCGATCGGGAAAACTAATTTAAAGTGCGGGGCTTTAAATTTCCTCCATTTCCTACCAAAAATGTCCAGTTTTTCAAGGAGGTAAGTAACGAAAACCTCAATTTTATCAAGTAGGCTTTGGAATGTCATTTTCTATTGGTTTTTCTTTAAATTTTTCGCTTTTTAATAAAAAAAAGTGATTGGGTGCGGGGCGTGAAATTCCTGTCACTTTCAAACAAATCAAACAACTAAATAGTATCCTACTGTATTTCTCTCTTTGTCTTACTTATTTGCTGTTTTTGCTTTGTCAAAAATACAATGGAATCAACATTAAAAAAGAAAATTTGTTACTTTTTCAGGATGAAAAGTCGTCGGAAAATGAGGAAAAACATTTTATTTTAAATTGTAATTGTGGCAACATTGCTTTCGATCAAGTAGGCCTTGTAATACAATGTCATTTGCCTCTTTTGACAGTCGGTTATTTTGAATGTTTTTATCCAGTTTTTTTTTCAATTTTCCGCTTTTCCGAGGCTTTTTCGATGAAAAAACTAATTTGAAGTGTAGGCTTTGAATTTTTTTCATTTTCTGCCAAAAATTTCCAGTTTTATAAGCGGGTAAGTAACGAAAGCTTTAGTTTTATCAAGTAGGCTTTGACATGTCATTTTTCATTGGTTTTTCTTTAGATTTTTCTGCTTTTTAAACAGAAAAATTGATTAAGAGTGAAAGGCCTAGAACTTCTATTACTTTTAGACAAACCAAACAACTAAATTTTATCCTACATTATCTCTCTCTGTCTTACTCATTTATAATAATATTTTTGCTGTTTTTGCAAATGTATCCTATACCTTATCTCTTTTTACTCATTATAATCAGTTTTTGTGAAAAATTCAATCGAATCAACATTAAAAATTTAAATTTGTTACTTTTTCAGGATGAAAATGAGAAAAGACATTCTGTTTTAAATTGTAATTGTGGCAACATCGCTTTCGGCCTTGTAATGTAATGTCATTTGCCCCTTTTGACAGTCGGCTATTCTGAGTGTTTTTATCCAGTTTTTCTTCGAATTTTCCGCTTTTCCGAGAATATTCGGAAAAACCGATTTTAAGTACGAGGCTTTGAGTTTTCTTCATTTTGTGCCAAAAATATCCAGTTTTCTAATGGGGTAAGTGACAAAAACTCAAGTTTCATCAAGTAGGCTTTGGAATGTCCTTTTCAGAGGTTTTTCTTTGGATTTTCCGCTTTTCCAGGCCGGGAAAACCGATTTAAAGTGCGAGACTTTGAATTTCCTTCATTTTCAGCCAAAAATTTTCAGTTTTAAATTAAAATTAAGAACGCAAAAAAAAATAATTAGTAAAAAACAACTTTTTAGGGAATTTATATATACTTTTTCAGGTGGCAACTTTGCTTTGTAGCCAACTTTACTCGGGTTCCAATCCAGTAGGTCTTGGAATGTTATATCTAAAGTGACATTTGAGAAAAAAGTATGGTCACCCCCACCCTATTATAGGCTGGTACATTTTTACTGAATTTGGTACAATTTGTCTTTAATTTGGATACAAAAAATTTTTGCTCTCTGGCAACACTGCTCAGTAACCATTGGACAAATTGCATTGAATTTTCAGCATTTGTAGCTCTTATTATTAAGCTCTAAATGGCCTATAATTTACAACAATCCTAGGCTTATAGTTTTTGAGCAAATTGAGGCCGAGTTCGTTTTTGTCATCTTTTTTTTTCGATTTACTCCGAAATTTTGACAGGCACGTGGCTGGATAAGACAGTTTCAATTTACAAATCACGTGCCTGTCAAAATTTAGGAGCAAATCGACGAAAAAGATGACAAAAACGAACTCGACCATTATTAAGACTGTCAAAAAATGTGAAAATTGTCATCAGTCTTAAAAAATGCCATCAAAGTAAAAAAAAAATATCACTGTCAAACAATTTAATTGATGTTGTGATCGTCATTGGTGTCAAAAATGTCATAAGTATCAAAAAATCTCATAGGTATCAGTATTGCATACGTGTCAAAAAAATGTCGTGAATGTAAAAAAAAAAAATTGAATGTATAAACGTCCCTTTACGGTTGTTTGTCAGGTGTGCAAAAGGTCAAATTGCCCTGTTGCCAACTTTGAGAAAAATAAATAAAAATTCAAATGTCAAAAAAATGTTGCCAACATAGTTACAATTGAACATGGAGAAGACAATAGGATATTTATTGCCAATCCCCAAAAAAAAAAAAAAAAAAATAGTGTTTTTTATTAAGGTTAGCAACATTGTTGGCGGCAATATTTCTGAATTTTTAAAGCATTTTTTTCTATTCCCGGCTCTAGAATAAAGAAATCCATTTAAGAGGCGGAAATTTTGAAAATTTGAGCAAATCAGAAGCCGGGAATGTTTTATTAATTAAATTTTTAAAAAAATTGAAAGTCGGAAAAATTGAAAAAAAATCAAATTTCAAATATTTCCGCTTTTTGATTCGCTTGATTTGAAGTTTTAAAATTCAATGTTTGATTATTCCTGGCTATCGATTGGCTTTCAAAGTCAATTATTGAATTTTCTCGGCTCTTGAATGGGTACAAAATTTAAATTTTGATTATTCCTGGTTATTGATTGGCTCTGAAATTCAAATTCTGAATTTTCCCGGCTCTTGATTGGTTTTTAATTTTACTTATTTTTGGCTCTTGATCGGATTTAAAAGAAAATTTTGAAGCCAATCAAAAACTTGGAATATTCAAAATTTAAACCTCTAATTTAATTGAAAGCCGAGAAAATTCAAAATTGGGAAGTAGAGTAAGATGGTATGTTCACCATCATAGGCTCCACCCCATGGGTGCGAGAGAGACAGCACTATACCCTGTCTCTGCGGGTGTGAGAGAGAGAAGGCACAATATCAGCACTGTAAATATCAGCCGCCGCCTGCGCCATCTATCCACCATCACGCGTACTATCAACCATTGACTGAAACTCTTGTTAGACACTAGCGCAACCTATCCTAAATCAGTCGCACTACCTGGGATTAGTTATTCGCGAGCACAGGAATCTATAATTTTCTTGCCTTTAAATAATTAAAAATAAAAAAGGTCTTTCAACCGAAACAGCAATTAAGGTTAGGGTGATGAGGCAAGAGGGAACATCAATAAGGAAAAGGCCAGTGCTGATCATCTATACAAAAACTCATTAGGATTTAGGACTTCTATTTTTCAATTGATTCACGGTCTATCGAGATAGATCGGATTGAATTCTTAAAAAAAAAATCCAGATCCTTACTGACGTGTACCGTCATCCTATTTCCAAAGTGAAACGTTAGTCACTAACCTATCGACGATTATGGAAATAATTTTGACCAAATAAGCTGATAGAAATAAAGCGAGAATGTGAAGTCTGCATCGCATGAAATTGCATATTATTAAAAAGTATGCCTGAGGTTATGTAAGAAATATAATATTTTTATCTGAAAAAATAAAGTCACACAAGCGCGAAATGGAGAAATCTCGCTATATACACACATTCGCAAAGAGATGTCTATGAAAATTCCGAAGCAGAAGTTCAAGATTGAACAAATCTAACTGATATATATTTTGTAAAAATAGTTATTAAGTACTTATCATTATTGTTTTTTAGTAATAAGTAGAATATTGTGAAAAGAACCTCACGCGTAATAAATGTTTTTAAGTTGGTTTAAGACCAAGTGCTTTAATATTATTTTCAACGGAGCAATTTGCTTTAAATCACTTTCAACATTCCTGAATAGCTGTAAGGTTGCATTTCAGCGATATTATCCGCGATCTGTCCTGAATTTGATAAATTTTGTTTTAAATATTAGAACAACCCTAATTAGAGCAAATAGTCATACAAATCCGTTGAGACACCTATTTTCTGTTCAAATCTGCCTTTAAAACCAGAAAATCGTTCAAATTTGTTCTAAATATGATTTCCTTGTGCTTTTTTTTTCTGATATACCCAACATAGTATCAAATGTGTTAAAGATTACTTTCAACAATATAACAACCCAAAATGCAGCTTATAGTGACATGGATCATTCGGAGATGTATTTTAATTTTTACTCTAAATTTTCATTCAAAACCAGAAAATGAAATAAAGTTTCAAATGTGTTTTTTTGTACCTTTCTTCTATTTAAATATCAAGCAAGACTGTCCTAGTTCGGTGTGAGATTACATTGAGGACATTTTCCGCAATTTTCTACTTCTTGTCAATTAATATATGATTCCAACGAAGTAGCTAAATTGGGGAAAAATAATTACACATTATTACTCCATTTAGACACGTGTTTTCGATCCAATTTTGCATTTAAAAATAGAAAATGGTCTAACTATCTAACACAAACGTGTTTCCTTATTATTTTTTCTATAATTCCCAATATCAACAGAGTTTGTCCAAAATTGGTGAAATATTGCATTTCAACTACATCTT